TTCAGTGGATGGTAAGGGACCAACTAGAGAAACAAATGCCAACATTAAAAAACATGACTTGAAAATGATTATTATATGTTTTTGTGTGTGTGTGTGTGTGTGTGTGTCTTACTGTGTGTCCCGCCTGCTCTAACAGAGCTTTCACCTCTCTAACGCCTCGGGCCATGCTCGGAGATGGATGCATGTAGCCATCGTTTTCCAAACAACCAATCCTTAGAGGTTTGGTGGTTCTGTATATCTAAGAGGGAATCACTTTTTGTTTTTAATGCTCACATGAAATGAGACCATTTATGCATGTATATGCACAGGCAATTACAAGTGACATGAATCCCACAGTACAGGACACACCTCCATATTAAAAGGTAATGGTGGAACAGTGGGGTCCAAAGAAAACATGTGGTCGCAAAGAAGTGCCTGCATGCACAGAGCCAGGCTGTCCACATCTCTTGCCATGGGTCCAGGTGAAGATAGCACTAGTTTAACACGAAACAAGAAGCAGTAAACAAAATTCCCAGACTGTCTGTCAGTATCCCAATATTGACTCTGTATATATGCTAATAAGATATGTCACTTACCTGACTTTTGCCCTCTATAAATTGGACGAGATCCCTGTGAACTAATCATTACACAAAAGGTGAGATAAAAGTTTTTCTCAGCAATGTATAATAATTTTCCAAAACCTGACTGAATGAGACCCACCTGAGCCGACCTGCAGTTGGTTTGAAACCACAGATTCCACAGAAGGATGCAGGAATACGGATACTGCCGCCTAGATCAGTGCCTATACCAAGCAGGGAGCCCCCTCCCCCGATGAGAGCCCCCTCCCCACCAGATGAACCTCCAGAGGTCTTCTGGGGGTTATGAGGGTTCACAGTCTGCCCGTAGATAGGATTACTGCAGTCATAGCTGTCAACAGACAAGAAGGTGAGGAAGTCTTTGCATGTTATGCACATGTGGAATAGCAAAGACAACTGAATGAGTTTTAACCACATCAGACATAAAAGGCAGATGGGGTATTGTCATCACCCCTCCAGGTGGGCAGAGTGGATACCCAAGTTTGTGAATGTGATAACTGCAGAATTAAGTGAGGTGACATAGGAATTTCGAATTGGTGTATCTTCTAAAAATCTTGGATGACTTTGAATCTCAATGACTTCGACCTTAAGGTCATAGGTCAGCTTTTCTAAAAATTACCTGGATTTTTAAATTTATGCCATAGGTGCATCTAGGAGGCTGACGGGCAGAAATGGCAGACACCGGTATTTTTAAATTGGCTCTAGATTTATGTCAATCACCGATAATTTACCTCAAAAGACCTTGAGGCAAGTTGGTTTTCACAAAGGGAATAGCTCCTTGTTTCTTCAGGACTTGAACAAGCACACTGTCCTTTTCA